GGCGTGTGCTAATGCGTGCTGAAGTCATGACGTTCTGAGTGGGGCCAAATGTTTTCGTTGTCTGTGATTTTGAGTTGAAACAGAAACAGCCTGGTTTCACAGCTCGATATGTAGAACGCCTACTGCGTTCGGGTAAGCTGTTTCTGTCGCTGGCTTGAATCCAACTGAAGCCCAAACTTTTCAAAGTTCAATTTTTCTTGAATTAAAGTATCTGCCAGACCACTTATCAATGATGCACGCACAGAAGGTAAGAACAGAAACGTAGTTTATCTGGGCTATTTTGATGTCGGTCGTTTATTCGAAATTGTGTTGGAGAAATCACGAAAACAATTAGTGCCTTGATGAAGCGTGTGCGCGCGTCGTGGAGCCTTTTGAGCAAGGCTGAAGACTGACAAACAGCGGCCAAAGTGAATGGCCTAAACTACAAACCCGACTACAATTGGTTGCATGCCGACATGGTAAGCTATACGTAAAGGCAGCGCGGTTTTCTGAGGTCGCACATTCTTACCAAAGGGGAGCTGTGGACGAGTTATTGGAGTGGATCGCAGGAGGTACCACCGTGTCTCTGGTGCAATCTCCATTTGGTCAGTGTTATGACGGATGCCGGCTTGTTACATCATGCACTACGAAGAGGTTCATACGACAGTAAACATTGCAAGCAGTGACTGATCACTGTTTTGAGGTGGTTAAAGACATACACCATTGTAAGTGTTGTGCTCGTGGTTTGCGACAGTGCGCCGTGTCATGCAACTTTTTTGCAGACGTTTATAAAGTCTACATATTGAAAAGAACAGATACTTAGATTGGCACCGTTCTAACCGATGTTGAACTCAATCGAAGGCGTGTGGAATGTGTTCAAGACCGGGTTATAGCAGCGGTTACTGGTAACTTTTAATTTGTTGCAAAACGATGACAACTGAATTCCTAGGTCAGGAGGATTGAAGAATGCGTTTGTCGGAGAGTGTCGCCACAACTGCTTTGTAACGGATGATTCTTCATCTCACTGTCTTCAGTCTGTCATGTCCGGAAGTTCTGTCAAATGCCCTTGGTGGACATGTGTGAAATTGAGTGGTGCGAGTTTGCGATCTGGGGTTATACCACTACTTTGTTTAGAGCATACCCGCATGTTTTGTGAAGGATTGTTTACCTCTTCCTTGAATGGTAATGCAATTCGCCGATGTATAGAGCTTCTGGGGAGGTGGTTGCATCATCCGTGGTATAAAGTCATGGTGCACTGGAATTAGACGATGCTTCCAAAGTCCATCCTGTGCATACTGGCCACGACTGTGGAAGGCAATGATCCCATTGATAGTCCTTATTACCGAATGTCTACCATCGACTAAAATACCAGAGTGAAAGAGAAGTATATCATGATGGTAAATTGTTTTGCTATCAACAGCGCTTCTGTGTTCAATCAATCCATTGCGGAATAATACATTTTTAACCATTCATAAAGCGGCAGGTGAATGACTGATTCCTGCTTCAGGTTGCACCACTCCCGCCATCTCCGTTTCAGGTTATCGGTTATAGATCTTCGGCACATTAGCCGCTTGATACTATATGTTGTAGAGTTGATAATCTCATGTTATATTCATTTGTGCAATGTGCAAATTACTTTTAAGGTGATTCATATTTTTTTTTAATGATATCCTAGTCATATCATCGGTTCACTTTAGGGAACAGGTCAAGGTTATATGTGTGACTGTCTATATGCTTGATAGCTTAATATACAATCAATATTTAAAGAACTAAAGGTGATGAAGTAAAACGCCATTTCTCCGTGTCAAGCATCATAAAGTTCCAAACTCGATTTTTCAGAAAGGTAAGCACAGTTAAAGACAAGGGGGATGTTTCTAATACGTTCGTTTAATAAGCTGACATCTGTCTTCTATTCGGTATTATGAGTCTTGTTCGTTTACGAGGAGAACCACCACTAGTAATCAAGTTTTTTTGTGTGTAGTAAAATATCCTCGTTCTTTTCGTTTGTCATTACTAAAATGCCACGTCATCGGGGCTTTCTAAATTATTCCCTTTCATTGCTGTAGATAGCAATATGCCAACTGTACACTCCAGGTAGCGTGATATTTTGCTCATTTCAGAGATGGTCGTATATTTGATTCAGTCGCATTAGCCTGATTGACTGACTGTTACATTCTCCGTGCATACATTTGGAATTCCATTGTCCTTTTCAGATGAGAAACATTTACTACTATAATAGAACCCGATCAGACAAACCTCCTTTCATCTCGGTCTGATGAAGTCTTTCGTTTCTTCGGTTACTTGGCTACACGGCAAAAAGTTGAACGCATCAATAGTTTGTGCGTTAAGGCAACAATTCACGTTTTCAATTTACTCTAGTCGTGACCTTTTAGCCTATCCTGCTCACTTATTCCATCCAGTCGTTTTCGTGTCCATTGTTGCTTATAATCGGATTGACTTTTAATAAGCAGTCGACGAGATAAAATGGAAATGTTGACATAACACGTTGTAATTTCTTGCTAAATTGAGTAAGGAGAACTCAGTGTTTTAAACCTTTGCCAAATGCCATTGGCAGCAGGAAAGCCACGTTCAACACCGTTTACTGGGTAGCGCTACTCATTAAATCACCAAAACTAACCAAACTAACAGGATGAAAGTTTTGTCGACGCCAATATCACCCATTATTCCGCTCATATTTTCGTATTTCCTCATGATTCGGTTTTTTGATGTTTAACTAATAATACCATACAGAGTCGAATCTGCATAAACCTTCATCACTAGAGTACATTGTTAACTTGTCATCTGTTTCATTTGTAATCGCCACTTTCCCCTTGTGCTCGTGGTTCATTAGTTCTGGCAACGCTTTGAATTCCTCAGGGACATAACTAAGGTCCATTGGTTATGAGAACTTCACCGATTTGACAGGTCCGACCAACTGCCGTTACTTAGCAGCATAACTCCTAACGTCGGCATCATGGTATCATCATGTCAACTACGTTGAACAATCACACATTGTTTTTTCCCCTGGGTTTTGTCTGTCACTTCGGGTGTTTCGGTCATTCTTCTAATCCAATTTTTTGTGTTGTTTCTCATACCATCCATTGACTCAGACATACGAATTCCACTCCTTTGGCGTGACACTCCACTGGGAACCAACATGCAAATGCTTATGTGCCGCTGGTTCCCCCCAACTTCTATCCTGACCGGGGCCGGAGACACTGCCCCCGACAAATCGGACTATGGGGATGGGGAACAGTGTGATGGTTACAGCGTGTTCTGTCTGGTACAAGTTGGAAACACCATTCGTGACACACGTCTTATCTTCAACATCACGCCGGGCACCACCGACATCGAGTTTGACGACAAGTTGATTTTGTAAGTGTTCTCTGCTCTATCCCATCGCTCTTTTTCAGTTTCTTGTAACATGTTTTCACTGTTGGTTATAAAATTAGTATAGGGAGAACGTTGGCAGTTTATTCCTGGTGTCCCAACTCTGACTACGATCCAAATACTATGGTCTATATACCTTCGATGATCACAGCTCCCATTTCAATTGCAAATCAGGTTCTTCAGAATGATAACGTGACTGAAGTGGTTACGAAATTGTGATCCTTTAGGTTATTTGGTTTGAGGGCAAAACGTACGATCGTCTATCATGACATACATCAACTCTTGAGATAAGGCGTCATAATCCCAGATGTATTTCAGTTGTGGACTGACAGTAAGTTGCGTAATACAAGCTTCGTTCACATCTTAAGATTACCATGGCTAAACACTTACACTCAACCCACACGATAATTTGATCCTGACCTCTCAACTCCTTAATTAACACCTACTTCCTAAAACCTCCCTCCCTCGTGAGCATAACCACATCGAAGTCATGTTTATGTTTTATCCAATCGCCTTACCCTCACACTATTTTTCATCAATAACTTCCCTAATTGTTACTTGATTTGATATATGATTATACCAGTCTAAGATGAGAATTTATCGAAAACAGTTCTGTTCGCTGAAACCGAAATTGTTTTACGTAATATAAGATATTTGAATGATACAAAATCACTTCGGCACGATTTCGGCATAAGATTAAGCAAATGTCATCTGATCGAAATGGGCTTCGTAGGCTGAGGCTTCAATGCAGTTTTTGATAAAGGAAGAGATGAACATGTATAAGCCAAGAACGCAATGGGCGGTGTCTACCATTTGAATTATCACATGGTAAACCAGCTCTTGTTATCACATAGTGACATGGTTTAGTGTACATTTTAATCTGAGATACTTTATACTTCAGGGAATAAGCAGATTTCGTCAGTTAGTTGCCAAGGCTTGCAGATTCGACATCGTAAGGTGTTCGATGTCATACGTATGGGCTGAAGACTACAAATTGCATAAACTCGAATAGCAACACTCGCTGTAGCCGGGCTCTAACTTGCAGCCATTTGTTGATGTTCGAAAGTTTCTATCACTAAACACTACTAATAAGTAGTTTGTTAGATTTATGATTTTAGATGAGACCTTATTATGAAAAGTCAGGGCTTCGGTTGGATTCGAATCAACGAAAGAAGCACTGTGCACAAGGGCAGTAAGCGCTCTACCAGCTGAGGTAAGAAACCACGCCAGGAGCTCGAAAATTTCACATTTGAACTCGGTTACCCACCCGTCTCATTGTCTCAACAGTGGCGTTGATAGATTCCAGAGTGGACTGTTCGAGAACTCTCACCGAGGCAGTCGATCCCCTGTATCGTTTGGTGGATTCCATATGACACAGTGGGTCGGGTGGATAACTAAGTTCAAATGTGAAATTTCTGAGCTTCCATCGTGGCTTCATAGTTCATTCGGTAGAACCTTTGCCACGTTTA